CGAGACGCGTGGCTGACCGCAACCGAATGCACTGAGCCAGGCTGCTTATCGTCGCTCCTCCTTATCGCTCCGAGTTGCGTCGCCCGTTGCTGTTGTCGCGCGTCTGGGTCGCAAATATCGAGGACGGGCCTCCCGGAGGCTCGAGCTGATAAGGACACCGCCTTATCCGCAGCTGAGCATCGTACGAGCGGAGCTTATCGCACTGTCTCCTTTTACGGGGCGGTATGAATTTCAGTCGCGATCGCTGCCGAACATGTGGAACGCGATGGCCGTGTCCTGTATGCATAGTGCCTCTATATAGTCTTGCGCACTTTCTGTGAAATGAGACTTGGCGGGATCGTTTAGTCGGTCGGCGGTGTTCCCCGTTGGCTTCATAATGATAACGACGGCGTCTGGAAGTACCTGAGGGGGGTGTGTCGACTAAAGAGATAACTGGGCTCTCTCGGTGTCGCCTGCACGACAAGCCCCGAGGAGGACAAGCCGAGGATGAGCCGTCGCGTCATGTCCGCACGCGCTGATTACGCTGATAGCGCATCAAATAAATGCTTGAAAGGCGGTTTTTTTTCCCCCGACTGGTATACCGTTTCTGAAAGCGATAATCCTCTCTCGGCGTCAGTATTTTCCTGCCTTGTGGAATGTAAGGTACGGCCTAAAGTACACTGTAATAAACAACTAAGTTTTACAGTCTTCTGACTTTACTCGTACGTCGCCGCTCCGGTATACCGAAGCGGTTACTGCAAAATCCGCAGTTTTTTGTTTGTTCTTTTAATAATATTGTGGTAGACACTGAGTCGACGTCGATTTTCGCTAATAGCGACGTGCGCCACCAAAAGTGTCGCCGTGGTCGAAGTTCGCGATTGGCCGAACCATAGCTTCCTGGGCACTGACAATGCCTGCCCAAATGCCGGTTCACGGCGAGGCAAATCCTGGTCGCGACGTCCGGTGCGGGAACCAACAGAGGGCGCCACCGAAATTTCTCGTCGCTAATTGTCACGGACAGCTTAAGAAATGGAGGGCGTGGCTCAGCACGCTACTTGCTTCGTGACTGGCTCTTCTGCTTAATCGGAAAATGCCGCAATCTGATTGGATGCGATGCGATAATGAGATGCTCGGGACTCAGCACGCCAAGCGTTCCTTAAGATGTCCGCGACTGTAGTTGGAGAGGGAGGGGAAGACAAAACCATAGAGTGACGAGGTGGTCATTGTAGTCTCGGGAACAGGCTACACCATGCTCGCTGAGGTGAAGCGCGAGAGTCAATGGTGCGTTTTAGTAGATCGTTCCGATGACTCCGATAACCGTCCCCGATACCCCGCCGCCGCCTTTGCGCATGCATCGTATCGTTATCGGGTGTCGTCATCGGGGGTAACGGGAGTATCGGGAACGATCTATACCAAAACTCCCTTGCAGCGAGTTTTTGAAGAGCGTACGCCGTACGCAAAAGGTTTGTGCGCGCAAAGGAATATATCGTCGTCGCTATGCGGCAATCTAAGGCGCGGTTTGGGTTCCACGCATGCGCACTGGCGACTACTCTATCTCTGCGTTTACGCTATTCCATCATCTGCGGTCGCAATATCTCGCGTTAACAAGATCTCTAGACGTGCGCCCTTTGTCCGCAATCAGGCTCTCGCCGGGCGATGCATGTATAGGCTATAGTCGAGTGGCGAGGTGCCGCAGTGTTTGCAGGTTTGCGAGAATAATGCCCCCATAGATCGTTATACTCGTCTAAGGGCTATCGGGTTCCGGCATTCCAGAAGCTTCATGTTGGCAGTGCATAAACTTTACTGGAGGTTGTTATTTATGACGGTGTTGTTCATTCTGTAGGTTTTGACAAGTCGCTGGTTGATTTTGCTGACGTGGTTTGCGTGTGGTGCTTCTGTAGTGTGATATTGCACCGCCAATGATGTTGCTTACTTAGGGAGGTTGTGTCGTATTCTGACGTAGCTCGGTTGGGGGAAAATGCCAAAATTGTTTTATTTTCTGATTGAAAGACGCTAGAGTTGAAAGGGTTTCAACTACTATTTTTTATTGTTTATTTAATGCATCTCTATCGAAACTCTTCACTTTAGTTTGCGTTGCCCAACCCAGCTAACGTCGGGATTCAACATGGCGACCTTCACAGGAAAATGGGTTTTGGAGAAATCCGCACTCCGGGCTTGGACAAAATATACGCTGAAATGAATTGAAATATCAATTCAGAATACGCGTGCGTAAATGTATTTTATTAAAGGGTGAAAATAAATGTTCAAGATATACCGCCACAAAAACTGCAAATGCTGCAACAAGTAATTGATCGCCATCACGTTCTTCGGGGCATACGTTTCGCTTTCATCGATCTGTTGTACGCGCTTGAGTGCACTAAATAAGTAATATAAATCAACGTCCGCGTTGATGACCCATTTTACTACACAGATTACCTTTTAGAAGTAGTGATATCGCTCTATTGCAAGAAGTAAAAAATGGCATCTAAAACAGACGAACGTAACTTATCTCATTCAAATGTAGTGGCATCGGTGGCCGAGCGGGCTAGCGCACACCAGCTCAAAGCACGTGGGGCGAAAGCTCGCGCTGCAGAGCTCAGGGATCCTGGGCTCCCTCCCCGCCCCTGCCTGTTTCGATATGGATGAGCATCGTACCGGCGTGCGGTCGTGTATCACTAGTGCGTGGCGCACGTTAAAGACCCCCGGCTAGCGGTTGTACTGCACTGGCTAAATTTCTCATCTACAGCCGGGAGACAAGTCGCCCGTTGAGGCAGACTAAGTTCTAAGTTGTGTAAACATACACACACCCCAATTTAAAAAAAAATCATTCAAATGTTATTTTTTTGCACGTACATCAAACATTCGAGGACGAATGTTTGGGCCGGTTTTCCTCCTCCTTACGACGACCATCTTTACGAGACCAAGCAGAGCAACCACAAGAGAATAGTTCGTACTGGCGTACAGTCGCCACTAAAAGAGATCAGCACGAACTAGCGATTGCCGGGCCGGCGAAAGGGCTGCACGTGGCGCTGCAGTCATGCCAACACAGCGGGAACGAGATTGCCCGGAGGGAGCCATCTTTGCAGCACGGAGGAGTTCGGTCAGGAGGATAAAGACGGTAGCAAAACGGTGGCAAATCCTGGGCGCTGACATCGGCGCTCCCGAGGGAAAGAACGAGAAAGAGAGCGATAGAAGAGCGTAGAAAGAAAGCAGACGAAATGTTAGGCGCGTTCGTTTTGCCTCGACGAATTGAAGTAGCTCGAGCGCTTGCCAACTTTATTTCGCTTTATACAATGCACGATTCCGGTGTTTTCCTCCAAAGTAAGCTAGAAAAGAAGAAGGTACAGACCTTACCGGTGATGTTTTGCTGCTTGTCCGTGCGTATTAAGGCGTCGCCAGCGATATGGGCCCATCGGGACCGCAAACTGGGACCGCCGATGTCCTTGTCTATGCCCCGCGTCTGCCAAACGCGGCCCCAATGCATGGGGTCAATGCGCGTTCGGAACACAACCGCTTTGCCCCAGGCTTTCACCGGCCATGCATTACTTGGCAAAGTTTTTTCCCCTTGGTCGTTGAAAGCAGTGACCTTTTTTATTAACTGTTTTACTCTCACCAAAGGTTATTAAGAACGGGCAACAAACATAAATGACAGTACCAATCTAAAAAAAAAAAATGCTTGTGAAACGATAACCATCAGCGGGAGCACCCCCGATATTGAAAGGTGGGCACGGCCCGACTCTTTTTGCCTATTCGTGACAACGCAGCACCACGTGCGACGATTTCACCGTTCCGGCCGTCGATGACTTCTGCTAATCATTTTTGGTGCCGACTGTTTTTTGGATATCCGGCACGGAACTGGTCACGACGAAGAGACCTGGAAGTACGCTTGCAGCTTTTTGGACTGAACCAACACGCAAGAGCTAATTTCTGTAACAATTTGGTTCTCACAAGCTCTAATCTATAATGCCTGTACGCAGCTGAACAATATAAGGCGCCATGAGGGATCATTTTTCAAGGAAATCTACACCGTTGTCTTTCCAGTAACTGTCTCACTGTCCATCGCTTAACATGTTTTTTTTTTTTATTTTTTTTAACATTTTATAGGGGTGTAGTCTGTTAATTGTGCTCCTTTCCATCACAACGATATCATCGCGCCTAAAAGTTACTACAGATTTTCGAGTGGTCCAGGCTGGTGGGTCAGACGAGGACCCGTTTGTAGGAAGGGAACACGAAACGGAAGAGGACTAAGTCCAAGGCTACAGGGCCGAAGGACTAGTTTGCAGGCACATAGCCTCCGTATAGAGGAGGCTATGGCAGGCACCTCCTGTGATGCTGATTCTGCAAGCGGGCGTGGAACCGCTTCTCCAAATAGCTATACAGGGAGTCAAAGTCTATATTCAGTGAGTTCCTCCGCTAAGCACATATTTCGCGATGATCGACGAACACTACCTTAAAGGCGGTGGCTTTTCTATGTGTAAATCTTGAGATCGTTATCCTAGTCGTGTTGCATCTTCCCTTTCGTTTTACTGAACTTCACCCACCCGTTGTCATATATATATGCGCCAAGAGACCACGGTGCACGCAAACAAAACGAAGCGTATACCGTAGCTTCCTTTTAGTCGCTAACTTACTAAAAAAAAAAAATTAAATAGAGGAAAACGTCGTGACCACGCTTGAAAGAAAACTAATGAAGAAAGCGTTGCGGGTGGGTGAGAGCGGTGCTTTCCACCTTTTTCTCTGACCGACGTCTTTTCGCGATCTGTTCCACCCTCGGCATTACCGGGTCTGCCGCGCACGTTTGCATCGTCTCTTCCTTCGGTGTAAACCTGCCCGACCACCTCCAACCGAGAGCTGGCTTAAAAGCTTCCCCCTTCGCCAAAAAAAAGAAGAAAAAAAGGAAGAAGAGAAAACAGAATGCGACACAACAAGGAATCTCACGATAATGGCATAAGAAAACAGCAGCGAGGGGAAAAAACAACAGATGTGACCTCATCTCCGAGCATGTCATTCGAACCAGACAGGATCTGTCGCTCCGGGGGAAGGCACATCTCCCTCTCGGAACCCAGGCACGAGACAACCCTGGCCACGAATGATTACCCATTGTCATCGAAGCTACTATCGGCGTCTCTCTCGCACGCAGGAAAGGGCCAAGGCCAGTCTCTTGCAGAGGCGGTCCAGGGTGCCGCGAACCTCTGTGGTGATGGCGATTCGCCCGAGAGGTCCGCCCTCTCCCAGCCGACGCACTGTGCTCGAGTAGCCCTCTCCCTGATCGGTGTGCAAGAGCAGACGAAGCCGGCGGAACTGGAGATTTACAGCCGACTCGCGTACTCGACCGCTCCGTTGTCGCCGCTCAAGCGCTCTCTCAACTCCACGATGGCCAAGGTACCGGGACAGTCATTCGAAAAGAGCGTTGAAGGGTGAGCTGAGGCCGGTTGGCTTTCGAACTGTCCTTGCGTTCGGGTCTGGTCTTCTCTAACTATTGGGGAAATGAAAACGCTCAACTCGAACGATTTCGGGTTCTTTGCTGATAGGTGGACTTTGCATGTGGACGGTTGGTCTGATCAGTGATGACCTAGATCCTGAACGTAAAGATTTAAAGGTCTTTGATTGTTCGTAATGCTATTTCAACAAGTTTTCTTTTTTTTTTTTAATAAAATTTTTATTGTGGCATACTGGCAAATTCCACCCCCATTTCATTCCGTGGTGTGGGTGCAATTTCGCAACAGATGTTCAGATGTCTGCATCCCTGTTGTGATCCATTCAACTAGTGCTTTTGTGTTGTCTTCCGTGGCACCATTGTTTTGAAAGGTTTTCTCTCATCTGACAGCGGGCCACCTATTTTTATTCTAAGGCGTACACGAGAACAGGCAAGCATTGATGAATTTCCAGACTCGCTCGGAGTCATGTTGATATTTGTTCATATCTTAATGACACTGTCTGCACCTTCATGTTAATATTGTTAAAGCCGTTAGTGGCCCTTCTCATAGCACTTCATGTGTTCCTTGTTGCAGAAATATCCAATGCAAATGAATAGGCTTCGAGTGTGCTGCCTGCTTAATATTCCGAGGGCATACAGAAAAAAAAAAAACGGAAGCAAGACAACCTTGTTTTATTGGGTTATTTACTCTCAAGCCTTGACGTTCCAAGGAAATTATTCGCACGGTCGGTCATTATTCACGTAGGAGATAGCCGGCTAGAAGACTTGTCAGATGTTTTGTTCGCCACATTTCCCAAGGACGGCTGCAACTCTTCCAAGACTGATTTGGATCGAGGAACAGGCGCTGTATATTCCTGTAAGAATATTCAGCGCTTGCTCGGGATATGTTGGCTCTCTCAGTGTTTTGTTTTAATAGAAACTGCATTTCCTTTTACATTTAGTCAATTATGCAGTGATCCTTTGTGTGAGCATAAAGCGCTTGAATGTTGACATCCCATATGTTGTGCAGTCGATATGTGCTCTTACTCTAGCTGTAACAAACAAACACGGATTTAATTAATGGGAGTGTAAGGTGTGGACGCAGAGAGTGCGCCGGTGGCCGATGTGTAAAGAGGGTGTCAGTGCGACAGATATGACTGTGAAGCCGGATTCACATGGTGCGATTTTACTTGCGATTTCGCAGATGCGACATGACTCGAGCGGCAAAAAAAAAAAAAGCGTTGTGGATGCTGCGGTGCTAGCCGTCGTACTTGCGAAATCGCGAGTAAGACCTCACCATGCGAATCGGGCTAAAGCCAGGAAACGCAATTGCGACGATTTCCTCTATCGGACTGTTGTGACTAAGTAACTTATACCCCTGTTTAAAGGGCAATTCATATACATTCAGAACGAAGGCCTTTAGAAACTCGGGGAAGCAGCGTGCGCCGAAGGGCACGCGCAGAGTAGAGATTACGCGTGCTGATACCTGCTTCTCTAAAGGCTTTTGAATTGCCTGTGAAACAGGGGTATGAGCGACACGCTTACTTACAGAGTAGCGTATCTTTGCATGAACGTTAATGCGATGCTGTTTTTTTCAGCAGCTAACGCTAGCAAAGATAAGATCTTCGAACGTCGTGTGTATCTACAGCATTGAAATGAGCGGCGGCCTAGCAACCAGATTCCTGGAAAGTGCAGAGATAGGGAGAAAAGAGACGGAGGTCGAAAACGGGAGAGAGGGACGTTACCGGAATTCTTCTTGGGACCACGTGATCGAATGTAGAGAGAAGACCCCTCGCTCGAATTTCATGTATCTCGCGATAACTTTCTCCAAGTTCGCATTTACGGAGGCCACCGCTCCCCGCAAGGAATGCGACTTTGAGAGACATTTTGCGAAGAGCGAGGGAACAGGGTGCTCTGCTTGTTTCGGGCCCCACGCCCATCTCCTCTCTTTCTCTTCTTTATCTCTCTCTCTCTCCCTCTCTCTTTCTTGCTTTCTTTCATTCCTTCTTACCTATCCGTTTCCTTTGCGCGCGTTTTTAGTGGCCGAGTCGCTGTAAATATTTCAAATTTTAATTAGATACCAGAAGCAGCGGTCGTGGTTGACCTGGCTTGACCGCTTCGCGTATGTTGTTTCGCGATGGATGAGTCGCCGTCTTCAAGAATGAACGTCTATTCGTCACTCTGCTTGTACTTCACATGTCCTTGAGTGTACCACATGAGCTGAAACTTTTTTTTTTCTTTGTGAAACGATATTTTGAATAACTTCTCGTTTTCTATCTTGCACTTGGGCTTCGTACGCGTGTGCAGTCATTCCTGCGCCGTTTAGTCTCGTTGCCTAATAAAGCTCGGTCTGTGCTTTAGGTCTTCAGTGTGTCCAAAATCTGTCTACTAGCTTCCTTGACATTCGTCTTTCTACTTGACTGAGCAACGCGCAAGCATACAGAGTGCCATTGGCGACCTGCGGGACCAAAAGCGCCGCTGGGGTCCGCATTCCACGACTGGCCAGACGCTCACTATAACGTCTTTAGTGGGATTAATTGTCCTTTCATCGACGGAAATATGAGCTATATATGTCAGACTGTCAGCTTTGACGGTGTTGGTTTAAGAATACGATGATGCCAAGCTCCCGCCGAGCTCTTTTACATACTCCATCAAACTTGTATGACCGGCACGCTCGTGCAAGCTTCAGTGTAGTTCGCAACTGATGATAACTAGCCAAGATTTCGACTTGCGACATCACGGCAAGGCAAGTGCTGATCTTGACGTCTCGGAGAGGAATCTTAAGAGGACGCCACCGAAACATCTTGGCGCTAATAGCAGTTTTCCTAGGCACGCTTAGCCAAATCGTGTGATTTCCCTCTGAGCTTTGCCTCTTCGGTCATGCTCGCTCCGATTGTCCTTGTGCGAAGCGTCGATTATCTGCGTCCGCCAATTATCTCCAGCGTTAAGAATCTTGTTTGGAATGGCAAAAAAGATACGATGTTTTCGTAAACACGTCCATGCGTGGGTAGAAAACGCGCCCCCTCACTCGGACACAGATTCAGCAGCACACGCCTTCAGGTCACAAGATCCGCGTCGCATTAGGATACATAATACCCGGCGGACCGCATACGAACCATTGACCCTTGACTCAGATACGGTGACGCGTGAGTCTCGATAAACACTCCCTTTAGGCTCCACACGATCGCTTTCTCAGTTTACCGAGTCCCAAACCAATCGGTTGTCTCGGCGCGCGTTAATATCGGCACGCACTTCGCTCGACCCCGATACAATCGAACGCAATTTCGTCGAAAACGTTTCTTCGAAAGCTGATGAAAAGAGCGATAGTGCGCCGTTACTTTGCTAAAAAACGCGGACTTTTATTTTTTTTTTTTTTTCGTTTGTAATGTAACTATCAATTAAGATTTGTTTCCTTCTTCATCATCATCATAGTAATTTAATAAACCTTCGAGACCCTTACGGGCATTACACAAGGTTCTTACATTGGTATAATTAAGACGGCCGTACCCGATCACTTTGAACATTAACACGATAGGGTCGCAGAGACTTCTGCGTGCTTTATTCCTAGTATTTGTTTTCGAGGTCACGCGCGTTGATGTCCCACGAGGCTATGGCGGTTTTACTCACGTTTTGTAAGTCGGGCGACCAAATCATGAACCGGTCGCCGAGCAGCGACACAAGTAACAAGAGTAAACACTTACAGGGTGTTACTCCCACGACTCATGGATTCTGGAAGTCCTGAACCGACCAAGTTGCCTGCAACTTCATATTTCTTAACTTCTACGTATAGTCGCTGAAAATCGTAGCACTCCGACTTTCTATTTCAAATATAATTCCTAACATATCGATGTCACATAAAAATTCGATCTATGGTTTTGAACGTTGTACCTTATTACAACAAATGTGTGCCGAGGACGCCGGACAAAGAAGCTTCCAATTTAGGAAACTTGATTATGTCCGGTGTCCTTGCACGTACAGAACACCGACACAATCATAAAATAAAACAACAACACTACTCACCTCAAACAAAATGAGCGCACAGTTTCCTAGTTAAGCAATGAACATCAATGTGGTCGCAGACGAAGTTGTTAAGCAATGTGGGCAGGTTATGTTCCGCATTGCCGGTTGTTCTTCCCTTCCTTCTTTTCCCTTTTTGACAAAAACCTCGTCGTTGGGACATACAACACTGAAACTTTACGTGCCGAACCTCCTCGTATTTAAACGTCCCCACACCTGTCCAGTGCTGAACAGGACGCGTACCCAAACGTTCTCTACTTTGTTTCACCCTGTGTCAGAACACAGCCGACACTAATGGCTAGTTGGGCCAATCAAAAAGCGACAAAAGCGCAACGTCACCGCGGTCGCCATCTTTCCGTGTCTGTGCTATCGTTGACTAACCCAATCAAACCGCAATGACTGCTTTCCCTGCGGTAGATTGGTTTAGCCAGTGATAACACAAGCACAAAACGATGGCGAACGCCGTGACGTTGCGCTTTTATCGCTCCTTGATTGACCCATCTAGTGTCTGTATTGGTACGCACTCTGGCCTTGACTACGCTTGGACTTGCGGTGAGAAGGAGTATATACTCGTATATATTGTACCGGATTATTTGAGCACAGTGTCCGCACTGCAGCGTCCGGTCCACAAACGTTCTAGACCTATCCTCGTTCTCAAGCAGAAACAGACGGCGCCAGGCGAAAACTGTTCCATTTTCTTATCGCCGGATCCTGGGGATTCAACGCCCCGGTTTTATCTCGTAGAGCGGCTCTCGTCCGAGACCCTGGGGACTCCGACGGTCGTCTCGCGTAACGCGACGCCTTTGGAACTCAAGCCTTGCGCTTGTTGGAGATGAGTCGGTGCAGTGAAGTGCAGGAGCTGCTGATTCCGCTCCTCTCGCCTCGAAGAGTTATCGCTTCGCACACAAACTCGGACGATGGGGAACGTCATTCTGTACACCCGGCGTCCTATCAGCCACTGACTGGGGGTTATTAGCTCGTTTC